CCCTCCAGGACTCAAAGGGCTAATCTGCCTTCTGCAATTATTAGTGAACTGTTCTCTCCTCCACTACGTCGGAATAACAAGGGCCGTGGGAACCTCACAAGGGCCGTGGGAACATCACAAGGGCCGTGGGAACATCACAAGGGCCGTGGGAACATCACAAGGGCCGTGGGAATATCACAAGGGCCGTGGGAATATCACAAGGGCCGTGGGAATATCACAAGGGCCGTGGGAATATCACAAGGGCCGTGGGAATATCACAAGGGCCGTTGGGAACATCACAAGGGCAAGTGGGAAGATCACAAGGGCCGTGGGAACATCACAGGCCGGGAACATCACAGGGGGGAACATCACAGGAACATGGGCCGTGGGAACGTGGGCCGTGGGCCGGGAATATCACAAGGGCCGTGGGCACAGGGCGTGGGAATATCACAGGGCCGGGAATATCACAGGGCCGGGAATATCACAGGGGCCGTGGAATATCACAGGGCCGGGAACATCACGGGGAACATCACAAGGGCCGTGGGAATATCACAAGGGCCGTGGGATTATCACAAGGGGCCGTGTGGGAACATCACAAGGGCAGGAACATCACAAGGGCCGTGGGAACATCACAAGGGCGTGGGAACATCACAAGGCCGTGGAACATCACAAGGGCCGGGAACATCACAAGGGGGGAACATCACAAGGTGGGAACATCACAAGGGCCGTGGGAATATCACAAGGGCCGTGGGAATATCACAAGGGCCATGGGAACATGGGAACATCACAAGGGCCGGGAACATCACAAGGGCTGTGGGGAAAGCCGTGGGAATGGGAACATCACAAGGGGGGAAGGGCCGTGGGAACATCACAAGGGGGCGTGGGAACATCACAAGGGCAGTGGGAACATCACAAGGGACGAACATCACAAGGGCAGTGGGAACATCACAAGGGCCGTGGGCCGTGGGAACATCACAAGGGCTGGGAACATCACAAGGGCCGTGGGAACATCACAGGGGCGTGGGAACATCACAAGGGCACGTGGGAACATCACAAGGGAACATCACAAGTGGGAACATCACAAGGGCAGGGAACATCACAAGGGCCGTGGGAACATCACAGGGCGTGGGAATATCACAAGGGGGAATATGGGAGGGCCGTGGGAACATCACAGGGCCTGGCCGAATATGGCCGGAATATGGGAATATCACAAGGGCCGGAATATCACAAGGGAATATCACCCAGGTGGGCACAGGGCCCGTGAACATCACAGGGGGAATATCACAAGGGCCGAATATGGGAATATGGGAATATCACAAGGGCCGTGGGAATATCCACAGGAATATGGGTATATGGGGAATATCACAGGGCCGAGGCCGGGGGAATATCACAAGGGCCGTGGGAACATCACAAGGGAACATCACAAGGGGCCGTAGAATATCACAAGGGCCGTGGGAACATCACAAGGGCCGTGGGAACATCACAAGGGCCAAGGAATATCACAAGGGGCACAAGGGCCGTAGGAACATCACAAGGGCCGTGGGAATATCACAGGGGCCGTGGGAATATAACAAGGGCCGTGGGAATATCACAAGGGCCGTGGGAATATCACAAGGGCCGTAAGAATATCACAAGGGCCGTGGGAATATCACAAGGGCCGTGGGAACATCACAAGGGCCGTGGGAATATCACAGGGGCCGTGGGAATATTGGAGGAGGTTGTTACAATGAGAAGACGCATTCCCCACCTCACCCACCCCCTCCAATGTCCCCTTCCCCCTCATCCGTTCCTTCCTCCTCCTCCTCTTCCTCTTTCTTTCTCCTCCCCGTAACAAGCAACACAGAAAGCCTTTGTATATATATATATATATATCTCACAGACACAGATGTAATTACAGTGTACCTGCTCAAAGTGTGTGTGTGTGTGTGTGTGTGGATACTCTTGTAGACACATTCTCAAGTATCTCATATAAAAACCTTGACAGCTGTTAATCAACACTGAGAGAATTAAGATACTCTTGATAAAAAACCCAGAGTTGTGTTATCATAATTCCCTCACAGATGATAATGTTTATGTAGAAGTGCGAATATTGCCACACACTTCTGTACTGCCTTATCAAGACGACGCAGCTGGTGTAGGAACAAACGCAGCTGGTGTAGGAACAAACAAAGCTGGTGTAGGAACAAACGCAGCTGGTGTAGGAACAAAGCTGATGTAGGAACAAACGCAGCTGGTGTAGGAACAAACAAAGCTGGTGTAGGAACAAACAAAGCTGGTGTAGGAACAAACGCAGCTGGTGTAGGAACAAACAAATGTGGTGAACAACGGTGGAGTCTAGTCACGGAGGAGAAATATTAAACATCTCTTACTCCATTGTGTCTATCTATCTATCTATCTATCTATCTATTAACCAACCTCCTCTCCCCACCCTCCTCTCCCCACGCTCCACTCCCCTACTTTCCCTCCTCTCACCTTCTCGCCCTCCCTCCTGCTAACTGTGCCACTAATCCCTCCATGTCTGCGAGGATCGACAAAGTCCCCACAACTACAATTTATCTTCAGAGTTTTCCAACTGCCCTTCAAGGCTTCCCGGTGGCGGCCTTATCACCTGGGGCGGTGTGCGGGTCCTGCCTCCTCCTGGGACACACACACACACTTTTGCACACTCACACATCCTACCTCCATCCAGCCAGTCTGTCGGCCAACCAGCCAGCGGCCACGTCAACTTGTAAAGAAGTTGTGGTACTCCGGATATATATATATATATATATATGGTTGCCCCTCGTGTAACGAGAATGGCCGACCCAAGAGCCACCTAGGCGTGAATTTGTTTAAGGTGTAGAAGCTGTCGCCAACACAACAACCACACCCTGAGTTAACGAGTTGCATGACCCAGTGTCAAATTATAGTCCAAGAAGACCGGAATACTCGCCAACTGCACTGGCTAACCATTACCCCGGAATACGATCTGCAAATCGATTAACATCCAGGTCTCCAATTACTGCTGGGTAGACAGAGGCAAATGGCGTAAAGAAACTTGCCCATAATTTCACCCTGTCCGGGATCGAACCCGGGTCCGCTCGCCTGCCAGGCGGGCATGCTGACCACACACACACACACAACCACAGCACCTGGGAGGGCTATTATACTATATGGTTGACTGACTGACGTGTGGCTCTCACTATTTCGCTCTGCCGTACACACACACACATATACCGTCCTACTCTTGGCTCACTCCCCTTACTCCCCGTCACCCTCCACACCTCCCCATCACCCCCACACTCCCCTCACCCCTCCCCCTCACCCCCCACCTCCCCTCACCCCCACACCCTCCCCTCACCCCCACTCCCCACCACCCACACCTCCCCCTCCACCCCTCCCCTCACCATCCACACCCCCCCTCCCCCCCACCTCCCCCTCCCCACCCCACACACCCCCCCCTCACCCCCCTCCCCCCCTCCACCCCACCTCCCTACCCCTCACCCCCTCCCCTCATCCACCCCTCACCCCCCTCACCCCTCCCCCTCCCCCCACCCCCCCACCCTCCCCCCCTCCCCCTCCCCCCCCCCTCACCCCCACCCCTCCCCTCCCACCCCACCTCCCCTCACCATTCCCCTCCCACACACTCCCCCTCACCCCCACACACTCCCCCTCAACCCCTCACAGCACCAAGCATGAAGGATGGTCTGCAAGAGGCAGGAAGAAGGACACGGTAAGATCTTGAAAGCATTCCAATGTTTAAAACTGAAGCAGTATTATAGCCCCACCTCACCTCACTTCATTCTCTGCTATCCATTCTCACAACCCACAATCCATCCTCACTATTCACTATCCATCCTCACGACCCACTATCCATCATCACTATCCATCCCACTCACACACTGAATACTTCACTGTGTTGATCAATATTTACGCCCCCGTGTTAAGTATTTTGCTTACTCGCGAATAACAAAGTCTCCCACGTACCCCCAGGAGACTCACACCATCGTACACCAGTAGTGGACACCACGCGGAGTTTTAACACAGGCAGGAATACTTTACATGGAGGTTTAAAAAGAGTGATCACTGGAGTTTAGAACACCCGATTGCGAACGTGTTTGGGTTTCGAACGACAGAGAGAAGGGGGGAAGGGGAGTGGTGGGGGGGAGGGGTGGAGGGGGGGAGGGGTATACATTTTGAATACAATGGTGAGGTTACTCAAAGTTAATATACAGGATATATCTCAATTGTATTTTCCAATGGGTTAAATGTTTTTTTTTATGCAGCTAATGTATTTTCCAATGGTGAAAATTAATGTCTTGTCTCAATACAATTCCTACTGGGTAAAAATGTTCACAATACATTTCTCAGCCGCGTAAAACAGCTTCAAGGTATCCCGTTGTACGTCACACAGCATTAAACTGCATCGATGTCCCTCACACAGCCTTATACAATATCAATGTACCTGGTGACGCCTCGAACAAGCACTACACAAACACCACTTTACTACACACGCGCCAAGACTCATCTGAATATAAATTGAACTTTTAAAAAACGTCGGGGCGGCTAAATCCTGCCGCGCAAATATCTCTGATCTTCACATAAACTGCCAGCCCGGACATACAGCACAAGAGATGAGGTGAACACTGCTTGATACTGATTCTTACTGAGTAGAATGTGGGTAGAATGTCCTCTCAAGTGAATAGAGCATGATATGGATTCTCAAAACAAAGAGTATAGAAGCCCTCACAGCCACAACCTACAATAACAGGTGGTAATAAATAGCCCGCGAACTGGCCGTGTTTATGTTTGAAAGCCGTAATACCTTCCACCAACAGATAACATTCACACCGCCTAACTTTGGCTAAAATAGTAAAGATCCATTATACCAAGACTATAAAGCTCTCGTGTTATGTATTGTAAGTTTAAACACAAAGCTGGTATCATACGAGAAGACAGGTGTGGAAGAAGAGGTGAGAAGGTAAGTGTGACTCAAGACTCATCTAAGACTCAAGACTCACCAATGACTCAAGGAGACTCACCAATGACGGTCATGTTGGCGTCCATTGTGTCCTGTTCAAAGGTCGGTTTGTCTGCCAATACTTCACATCGGAGTTTACCCGAGGCGCGGTGATCAACGTGTGACAGTACCACCTCGTGCAGTGTCGAGATGCTCTTCTGAAACACAGCACAGAATATTGTTAGTCTGTCTACCTTAGCACGTGTGAATAGGTACCTAACTTTACAGTTAGGGGAAGTCAGTGAGGTAGAGTGCAGTGATTTTACATAATCATAAACAACCACTATGGTAGTGCAGACATGTCCAGTTATTTAAACAATGTCCGTTCAAGGGTAATTTTGCAATTAATGAAGAGGGAGGCATTTATGTGGCAGGGGTCCTGACACACGCTGGCAGGGTGGAAGGGGCCCTGACACACGCTGGCAGGGTGGAAGGGGCCCTGACACACGCTGGCAGGGTGGAAGGGGCCCTGACACACGCTGGCAGGGTGGTAGGGGCCCTGATACACGCTAGCAGGGGCCCTGGCACACACTGGACTGGTGGTGAGTTGAAGACAGATGTTGTCGATAACACTTAAGGGGGCGGGTGTTACTGTCTCTCACTGTTGGCTGCAGGAAGGTGTGCGTGTCAACACATACAACACACACTATAAACACCAAACACATCACACACACCATACAGACACATCACACACACCATACAGACACATCACACACACCATACAGACACATCACACATACACATTACATATACATCACACACACCATACAGACACATACAGACACATCACACACACCATACAGAGACACATCACACACACCATACAGACACATCACACACACCATACAGACACATCACACACACCATACAGACACATCACACATACAGATCCATAGATGTAGATAGATAGTTTAGTTGTGGATAACACGTTGATTCAGAGCGGTCCATCGTGTATGTTGAGAGAGAGAGAGAGAGAGAGAGAGAGAGAGAGAGAGAGAGAGAGAGAGAGAGAGAGTTGGAGGGGCGGGTGATGGACGGCCTCATAGGTTACGACAAAAATAACACAACTTAAAAGTTTGGCCAGTTTGTGAGACCAATGACTCACTGGGTAACACACACACACACACACACGAACGTGATGTAATAAAAATTCAAACACTTGTGAACCATTTAAGTGAATCACAATGAAATGTCAAGACGAGATGAGAAACGGTTGCTCACAAGGCCTCAAGTACTCGTGTTTCTCCCTTAACACATAGTTTACGGCACTTTAAATAAAACTCGCAAGGTTTTTTATGCTCTTGTGGTTTAGGGAGGCGTCCTGGGATCTACGTGCCCCGAGTCTTGCTTAAAAGGGAGAATTCTTCCTTTTGTTTATTCCTCTGATAGGTTATGATGTATATACCTGGCAGGACTACTCGCACTCGCCAAGGTATACAGTACCGTACGATAGTTTGGGTAATGTTACTGGTGGAGGAATTTTTCGTAATACATGCGTTTAACTGTGTATTAACGCGTACATATAATTAAAAACCTGATGTTTAACCCTTCGACGACAAAGGTTTGATCCTTCGACGAATATATATACATATATACACTATACAGGTATATATATATTATTTTCACGTACATATAAATTATGTCACTAGAAAACGAACACATATTACTATTTTAATGAACATATAAATTAAATGTCACTTGGGAACGAGTTAATTTATATTAGTAAATACCAAAAAAAATAATAATCCGAAGTAAAGAATTAATATTTTGTGGAGTAGATAAAAATAAACATAATTGTGGCTTTATACAGTTAATTTTTTGTGAATATATATTATGTGCATATTTAAGACACAGCAGACGTCAGGGGGAGGAGGTTAATTAATTTTTAATATATACAGTATAGATATTAAAACATACTTGGTAAACGATTTGGCTATTTTGAGTATTTATCAACAAAATGTTAACCTCGTCCACCAACCACCACACAGGGTAAAGATATTGCCTCTGATGGGAGGTGGTGGGGGGGGGGGGGGGGGGGGGGGGGGGGGGGGGTAGAGAAGTTTGGTTAGGGTGTGAGGTGAGGTGATGTCACTGATACACTCAGGTGACGTCATTCACCCCAGGGTCTATTTACCATTAGTGATAATATAATAACTTCAGCGGCGATGCTCAATAACAGGGACATATTGTATTAAATATATATTGCAAAGCCGAGATTCAATTAGTGTAAATGACAATTAATATACAACAACTAGAGATTAAGCAATAGCGACAAGAGAGAGAGAGAGAAAGTGGTGACGGTAGTGAACTTAGGAACACACTCCGCCCAGAGACCCAAGACATTCCAAGGCTTTCATTGTTCTCGCGTCTTTCTCATACAGTTTATCAGTCTCTTATATACAGTATACATCTATCTTCTCTACATTTATCACCGACGCCATACTTTAAATAGTTAAAATTGAGTTTGTGACATATACAGTACAGCAAACGACACAGCACAGCACACGACACAGCACACGACACAGCACAGCACATGACACAGTACAGCACACGACACAGCACAGCACATGACACAGCACAGCACACGACACAATTAAGCCTGACCACGGCACAGCACACGACACGGTACAGCACACGGACACAGCACAGCACACGACACAGTTGAGCGACAGCACAACACGAGCAGTACACGACAGCGCACAGGACACAACACAGCACGACACAGCACAGCAGCGTCTGGCACGACACAGACCCTCAGCACACGACACAGCTGCCTGCGCACAACGTACACGACACAGTCAGCACCACAGCCTGGCACAGACACAGCCTGGCACACACAGCACGACACAGCACAGCACACGACACAGTGGCCACGACACAGCAGGCCACACGGACAGGCAGGCCTGGCACGCACGACACAGTACAGCACACGACCGGTGTGACACAGCACAGCACACGGACTGGCCTGCACGACACAGCAGTACACGGACAGCACAGCACACGACACAGTCAAACGACACAGCATAGCCGACCCACAGCACAGCACACGACACAGTACAGCAGCACGGACACCGTACAGCACACAGCACAGTACAGCACACGACCAGATTACAGCACACGACGCAGTACCACGACACGGCCAGCACACGACGAAGTACAGCACACGACACAGCACAGCACACGACAGACACAGCACACGACACAGTAGGCACACGACACAGTACCACGACACAGTGCAAGCACACGACCTTGCAGCACACGACACAGCACGCACACGACACGGCCAGCACACGACCTCCGAGCTGGTCTGACACAGTACCGACCTACACAGCGACCTGCAATTGGCACAGGACACAACTGGCCACGACTGGTGCAACGACAGCCTGGCCTGACACAGTACAGCACGACACAGCCTGCACACGACCCTGGCGGCCACGACACAGTACAGCACACGACACGGCTGTACCTGACACAATTACAGCACACGACATTACAGTACGACACAGTACAGCACACGACACGCTGTACGACACAGCCACAGCACACGACACGGGCACGACGGCACAGCACGACACAGTGGAGAGCACGACACGGTACAGCACAGACCTGGTACAGCACCGGCAGGCACAACACGACACAGTACAGCACGACACGGCACAGCACACGACACAGTACAGCTGCTGACCCACAGCATGGCACGACACAGTACAGCGCACGACACGGCATGGCCACGACACGGCACAGCACGACACGGCCTGACACACGACACGGTACAGACACAGCAGACGACACAGTACAGCACACGACACAGCAGGCCATGACACAGCACAGCACACGACACAGCACAGCACACGACAGCCACACGACATGGCCTGACGACAAGCACAACACGACACAGCACAGCACATGACACCAGCTGACACAGCACACGGCACAGCACACGACACAGCACTATACATATTATCCTTATAACACTCTCATAACACTATACCAAATCATCACAATTATCACTCTCATCCCCACGGGTCAAAGGTCATTTCTAAGGTCAAATCACCATCACTATCATCCCCACGGGTCAAAGGTCATTTCTAAGGTCAAATCACCATCACTATCATCCACACGGGTCAAAGGTCATTTCTAAGGTCAAATCACCATCACTATCATCCACACGGGTCAAAGGTCATTTCTAAGGTCAAATCACCATCACTATCATCCCCACGGGTCAAAGGTCATTTCTAAGGTCAAATCACCACTATCATCCCCACGGGTCAAAGGTCATTTCTAAGGTCAAATCACCATCCTCGTTAAAAAGACGTTCCAATTTATATATTTTTTATATATCCATAATCAATACTACGCAATTAATGGTCAAAGAAATTCTACGTATAAACATTAATTTTGTACCGATACCGAATGACGTCATCAAACAATCGTAAAATAACTTAGTAGTTCCTTATTAGAATTATTTTATACACGATATACAGTACATTTAGTCTTCAACACCTGTTAGCTCATTTAATTATCAAGGAAAGAAGGATTTAATTAAGGTAATAACTAAGGTATTATTGTTATTATTTGATGCCTTATATGTTTTATTTATCTGTTTTATAATGATGATTATTTTTATTGTTCTGTTTCGGTAATAAGAGTTAAGAGTTACCGTTTATAAAGAGGGCTCGGTTACCGTTTTTATATGAGAATTAAGTTACCGTTTCTGTATCGCTTCTCTGTTGTCCAATCATCATCTGTGTTCCGTATTGTCTAACGTCCAATCAGCTGTTTTTTCTTTTCTTTTCTTTTCTTTTTTTCTCTCAATTTCTTTATATTTTTCCTTAAAACGTTTCAGAACCTTTACGGCAAAAAAAATCTTTTATTTTTTCCGCACGTTTTCACACAGGAAGTTAACGATGAAAGAGCGTTCCCTTGTTACCTCCCCACCCCCCCTCTTATCTCCCCACCACCAGCTCTAACCTCCCCACCACCACCACCACCTCTTACCTCCCCACCACCAGCTCTAACCTCCCCACCACCACCACCTCTACCTCCCCCAAGGCACCACCACACCACCTCTACCTCCCCACCACCAGCTCAAACCTCCCCCACCACCACCACCTCTTACCTCCCCACCACCAGCCTCTAACCCTCCTCACCACCCTCACCACCTCTACCTCCCCAATCACCGTCTTTCCCTCCTCCTCCTCCCCCAATCTAACCCCACTTCCCTCCTACCTCCCCACCACCACTTCCTAAACCCTCCCCAACCCAACTTCCTTCTTCCCTCTTCAATTGATAAAAATTGAAGGATTAACATTCCTGACATTGTGGGGAGGAGGGGTTATGTTTTGCCCCCGCCGTGACAACAGCGGGTAACAGGTCCTTTCTTTCTCTCACCTCCCTCCCTCCCTCCCTCCCTCCCTCCTTCGTCCACTCTGCGCTACTGCAATTAAGTCCGACTTGATCATTAGTGATGCCACGGTGGCCAGACTTGCTTAATTGAGACCACCGCCGGGAGAGTAAGGGAGGGTGGGAGGGGGAGAGAAGTAAGGGGGAGGGGGTGATGAAAGGAGGTAGAGAGGTGGAGGAAGGAAACTGGACAGGAAGGAGTGAGGGAAATGAAACAAGAGAGAGAACCTTCCACCCGCTGAGAAGGACGGACGGACGGACGGACGGACGGACGAGTACTTGTTTTAACGTTACCCATTTTCTGTAAGCACACCATCATACTTCATCCCCTTGCCACACCACTATAACTCACATCTGCGCCTCCTGCCACACCACTCACCCCTGCCACATCACAATACCCCACCACCACTTCCCCCTGCCAGCCCGCCATACACAGCCCACGTTAACACCCACTACACAATTCCTGTTTACAATGTTAATCTGGCCAACAAGCGAGAAAATTCACATGAGAACAAAATGAATGGTGGGCACCCCCCCCTCCCTAGGACTGTCATCAAAGCTAAAAAATCATGTTTGTTGAGTAGAATAAACGTTTTAAATCTGGACCAGGTCACATCTCTTATTATTGGCGGGGTGGGAGGTGATGGGGAGGTGATGGGAGGGGGTGATGGGGGTGGGGTGATGGGGGTGGGGGTGATGGGGAGAGGTGATGGGGGAGGGAGGTGGGGTAGGGAAGTTTGGGGGAGAGGAGAGGGTAAAATTTTACAGTTAAATAATTCACGACCCATATGTACACTCGACGTCATGTTGTGAAATCAGTCAACACCAACCTGACATCACATAAGGTTTCACCAGACCAAGTATACCAGCTGATGTATGTCGTCTAATCTAGTATATACCTGTACACTCAACCACTAAATGCTCGTTCACCTTTCCCCATGAACCACGAACCCTCCGAGAGATTCAGACTCGTGAACCTGAAGCAGTAGACATTGATTCAAGAGTTTGAAGGCTTTAGCTCATGAGAAGCGATAAAAAACATGATTTGGGTGAAGGTCTCTCTACCTCCTGCTACTGGTTGGGGTAACTACTACAGCGGGTGGTCCTGAAAGAGTAAGACTAGGAATGATTACGGTAAAATGATTTATATTTTACCAAAGGAGTCCCACATAAATATCCTCAGTGCTTTATGGCGTGTACAGAGACTATATGTTTTGGTGGAGGCAGAAATGGCTTTGTTTTTACGCGGTGGTGATGGGTTAGTATTGGTCTCGTGTTGTGATGTATGATGGTCTTGGCTTGGAGAGGATGGCGGTGGACGTTTTATGTGAATGTAGGACGTTTGGGCCACAGGACGTTTGGGCCACAGGACGTTTGGGCCACGGACGTTTGGGCCGTGACGTTTGGGCCACGGACGTTTGGGCCACAGGACGTTTGGGCCACAGGACGTTTGGGCCACAGGACGTTGGGGCCACAGACGTTTGGGCCGTGACGTTTGAGACCACGAGACGTTTGGACCACGTGACGTTTGACGTGACGGTTGGGCCACGAGACGTTTGACCAGGGACGTTTGGGCCTAGGACGTTTGGGCCACGAGACGTTTGGGCCACGAGACGTTTGGGCCACAGGACGTTTGGGCCACAGGACGTTTGGGCCTGGGACGTTTGGGCCGAGACGTTTGGGCCACGGACGTTTGGGCCACAGGACGTTTGGGCCACAGGACGTTTGGGCCACAGGACGTTTGGGCCACGTGACGTTTGGGCCACGGACGTTTGGACCACGTGACGTTTGGGCCACGTGACGTTTGGGCCACGTGACGTTTGGGCCACATGGGACGTTTGGGCCTGGGACGTTTGGGCCACGTGACGTTTGGGCCACGAGACGTTTGGGCCTAATCAAAATTAAACTAACCTAACCTAACTTTGAAGGCCCAAACATCCGCTTACCGTTGATAATATAATATACGCTGCTGCTGCCTTACACTGTGGAGCTCTGAGGCAAGACGGGTCGGGTCGTAAGCTAGGAGAGGAAGGAACATTCTTACGTTGCTTCATGAGAGAAGATCAAAGGGTAAATAACTCCAGTCCAAGAATGATAGTTTTTGTGAGCTGCTCTGACCCTGGAGGGAGGCTGCAGGGAGGTGTGGGTGAGGGAGAGAGAGAGGTGTGGGTGGGGAGAGATGGTGCTGGTATGTGGGTGAGGGAGAGGGTGGGTGGTATGTGAATGAGGGGAGAGAGGGAGGTGTGTGGGGCAGGGAGGGGTGTGTGGGCAGGGAGGCGGTGTGTGAGCAGGGGAGGTGGTGTGTGGGTGAGAAGTGGTGGTGTGTGGGTGACGGAAGGGTGGTGGGGTGATGGAGAGGGGTGGTGGTGTGTGGGTGAGGGAGGGGTGATGGTGTGTGGGTGAGGGAGAGGGAGGGGTGGTGGTGTGTGGGTGAGGGAGAGAGGGTGGTGGTGTGGGTGAGGAGGGGTGGTGTGGGCAGGGGAGTTGTGTGGGGTGGGGGTGGTGTGTGGGTGGGGTGGTGGTGTGTGGGTGACGGGAGGGTGGTGGTGTGGGTGATGGAGGTGGTGTGTGGGTGGGGAGAGAGGGTGATGGTGTGTGGGTGGGGAGGGGGGTGGTGGTGTGTGGGGTGGGGAGAGAGGGGTGGTGGTGTGTGGGTGGGGGGGGGTGGTGTGTGGGCAGGGGAGGTGGTGTGTGGGTGGGGAAGGGTGGTGGTATGTGGGGTGGGGGGAGAGGGGGTGGGTGGTATGTGGGTGGGGGGTGGTGGTGTGGGGAGAGGGGAGGTGTTGGCGGGGAGGTGGTGTGTGGGCGGGGGTGGTGTGTGGGCAGGGAGAGGGGTGGTGGTGTGTGGGCGAGGGAGAGAGGGGAGGTGTGTTGGCGGGGAGGTGGTGTGTGGGTAACGGAGAGAGGGGTGGTGGTGTGGGCAGGGTGGTGTGTGGGTGGGGAGAGGGTGGTGGTGTGTGGGCGGGGGGAGAGGGAGGTGTGTTGGCAGGGAGGTGGTGTGTGGGTAACAGAGGGTGGTGGTGGTGTGTGGGCAGGGAGGTGTGTGTGGGTGAGGGGGTGGTGTGTGGTGTGTGTGGGGGCAGCTGTCATTGAAATCATGGGACCAGCAATTTCAGCAGAGGTTTGAAGACTAAATAATTTTGTTGGGGGAAAGAGTGAATAATAATGAGGACACACACACACACACTAATCATTTGCTTATCCAGTATTTTTACGAACAATAGCGAGTCTGTGGGAAAAGGTTCAAACAATTAAGTGTGTGTTTGTGGGGGGGAGGGTCGAACGCTGGGTCTCGTGTTTTACAAATGAGTGTTTACAACACCACCACACACACTGAAGTCACAAAGAGATCGTAACAGCTACTTGCTTACAGGTGTATGCAGTGGAAATAAAACTTCTTATTTAATATAACAGGTAATAAGTGTATATCTTCCTCTTTTCCTCATCCTCTTGTTCTTCCTCAATTCTCCCCCTCTTCCTCATTCTTCCTCGGATCCACAAAAAGTAACCTCTTGGGGAACCCAATTCACGCTCACACTGATTTTGTGACCCGTCTGTCTGTCTGTTCTTTCCTCTTTGTCTCTGTCTCTTTGTCCGTCTCTGCCAATTTCTTCCTCCGGGTTACTACAAAACAACACACATGAGTCACAATCATATTACGTCACGCTTGGTGTATTCTGTGTGTATGTGTTCTCTGTGTGTGTCTCTCTCACTGTCCCCTCCCTCTCTCTGAACCCCTTCACACACACACACACACACACCAACAGTATCAACACTAATACTCACGTCTACAGTAATGCCTGGTGTCTTTGGGTGTTTGTTGGTGGGGACGTAACTGAAGAAGATCTTGTCGTCTTTCCACCAGGTGAGGGAGTACAGCTCGTCTCCGCTCAGCTCGAAGGAACACGAAAGAGTGACCGTGTCCCCGCGGTGGCTGTCGGAGGTACACCTATACCTGTGATCTGAAGTGTCTGCCCTGCCTCGTCTGATAGGGGGAGAGATGGGGGGTTAATGGGGTTAGTGATGGGTGTGGGGTGGTTGATGGGGGGTTAGTGGGGGTTAGAAGGATGGGTTAGATGTTTCATATCTCCTCCTCCCTCTCGTGATGATGGCGTGAATGCTTGTATTAAAGTACAAAACAAAAACATTATTCTCAATTGTTGATGTGTGAGGTTCTGCTGAAGGAAAGACAATGTTGGTGGTGTAATATAAATATTCACGCGATCACCATGAAAAATCTGTTCAAGACGAGACACCATACAATAATCAAATATAGGTGTATTTTTTATGTGTTGTATCTATATTTTGTGTCGTCTATATTTTTTGTATCGTCTATATTTTTTGTATCGTCTCTATTTTTGTATCGTCTCTATTTTTGTATCGTCTCTATTTTTGTATCGTCTCTATTTTTGTGTCGTCTCTATTTTTGTGTCGTCTCTATTTTTGTGTCGTCTCTATTTTTGTGTCGTCTCTATATATATATTGAACACCTCAACCCGCCAGGATTCGAACCCACAGCCCACGAGCCCATGACTGTGACCGGGGAACGCTAACCGCTGGACCACCAGTATACTAAAAGCAGTCTTAGACTTTGTTATATTTCACACAAAGCCTGTTCAACGACTTATGGCGCCGTGAACCTCTAATGGGGACTACCCGTATCACGTAGGTGGTCAGAGTAATGTTTTACCAAATCCGGCTTCGAAACACGAGGATCATATATATTTCATTAGCCCAATAAGCACTGGGACTTCTACATAAATCAACATCTCAACCAGGATTCGTGTTTCGAAGCCGGATATATATATATATATATATATATATATATATATATATATATATATATATATATATATATATATATATATATATATATATATATATATATATATATATATATATATATATATATATATATTTTTTTTTTTTTTACACTGCATACCTCTCTACTACAGTCACACCATAAACAATGGCAATATAAGACACTTCAGCGAGGAGAAAGGGGGGGACGTCAAGGTAAACACTATCTTACACACACACACATATATATATTTTAGCTGTCAGCCAGACCTTGGACGTGCGTGAGGTTGTCATCTGTGTCGCCCCACTGACACACTTCATCCTGACACATCTCTGAACAACCTTGTATCAGGAGGCCAGTCATACCAAGGTAGGTTATCTACCTACCTTGAGTCATACAGCGTCACCACCAGTCAAGAAACATGCAATCATTGGCTCGCAGGGAAGGAAGTGACCAATAACCACGTCACGGGGAAGAAAAGTGACCAATCAGGGCATTTCAGGTGAAAAAAGTGACCAATCAGGGTATCACAGAGAAGGAAGCGACCAATAACAGCGTCACAGGGAAGAAAAGTGACCAATTAGAGTATCACATGAAAAAGATAACCAATCATTGTGACCAAGTTATTTTGTTTTCTTGGAGTAAACAGTAAGCACACTTTGAACAGGTGGTTAAGTGACGAGTGGTGGAGAGGGAGGAAGATAAGGAGGGAAGGAGGAGATAAGGAGGGATAAAGGGAAGGGAGGGTGGAGAGAGGGAGGGATAGAGGGAGAGGGGGCGGAGGGAGGGAGGGTCATGCAATACCTCCCACAATCAATTCAGGACCTGCCCGGCTCCTCCCCACAAGTTTAAGGCAGAACCCATACTAAGGGGGGGGAGGAGGAGGAGGAGGAGGAGGAGGAGTGGGAGTGGTGGTGGTGGAGGCAGTAATCAGTGTCTCCGGCCAACACAGACACCACTCAAACATATCGGTTCAAGTCCACCTCGACCTACACCAATCCAGGAGCTTCCTCGCCCTCCAACACGGCCACCTGACAGGGGTTTCAAAGGGTCTGTTCTCACCTGATCCCCTTCCCCTGAACCCCCCTGGGCCCCATCCCCCTGGACCCCTGACCTCCTCCCACTTGAAGGTCTTGATATCTGTGATGATAATACTGAATTTTCTTCAACCTCACACGCGAAGGCTATTAGGGTGAGGAGGGAATGGTGAGGGGGGGGATGGGTGAGGAGGATGGAGGTGAGGGAGGATGGAGGTGAGGGAGAATGGGTGAGGGAGGGGACGGGTGAGGGTGAGGGAGGATGGAGGGTGAGGAGGATGGAGGTGAGGGAGGAATGGGTGAGGGAGGGATGGGTGAGGTGAGGGGGAGGATGGAGGGTGGGGAGGATGGAGGGTGAGGAGGAATGGGTGGGGGAGGATGGAGGGTGAGGGAGGGAATGGGTGAGGGGGACGGGTGAGGGAGGGAATGGGTGGGGGAGGGGGTGAGGGGAGGATGGAGGGTGAGGGAGGATGGAGGGTGAGGGGAGGGAATGGGTGAGGGGGAGGATGGAGGTGAGGGAGGATGGAGGGTGAGGGGATGGGTGAGGGAGGGATGGGTGAGGGAGGGGGATGGGTGAGGGGGGGGATGGGTGAGGGAGGAATGGAGGGTGAGGGAGGGATGGGTGAGGGAGGATGGAGGAGAGGGAAAGGGAGTTGTATGAGGAAGGGAGTGAGGGAAGGAGAGCACTAACACAATAGTCACACACACGTTATAATAAAGATGGTGACGACTGTTATACCTTATTACTGTCACGCCATCCCCCCACCTACTCTCTCTCTCGGCTACAACGACCGGCCCCCGGAGTATAACGACCGGCTCCCGGAGTATAACGACCGTCCCCTAGGGTATAACGACCGTCCCCTGGGGTATAATTCTCCCAATGAGGCCAGGTAGTTAACTTTCTCGCTGTATGCTAATAGTAGCAAATCCCGCTTAATAAGACACAAAAATGATCTAACCTAAGGAGCGTAATTTCCAAGTTTCATTAACAAAATAAACTTAATTCATTTTTTCCAGTATTGTTTAACTTCTGTGAAACTGACACACGTACAACATCAGGTCAGATATATTAGAAAAAGGTCATTAATGTTCTCAAAATTAAAAAATATATATATTAATATCTTTTCGTAGTTTTATTAAACATATATCGCTATTATCTACCAGTTATTTTATTGTAGTGACAGTCTAACGCTTACACCAGACCCTTATGGAAGTATATTTGTACTTCACGAGGCTTATATGTTAAAATGGGTGGTGAGAGAGAGACATTAGAGTCCAGGCAGTAGAGATAATATACATTAAACAGAATAATATATATAACATAAACAGATAATATAAACAATGTTAGATATACAGAGAATTAAAACAAACATCTCGTATATATTCTTACATGTGTACAGGGACTCTATGACACACACACACACACACACACACACACACACACTACTCGGAATTTAAATCTAATTAAATTCCTTTGACGATGGAGAAGTGGGGTGAGGATTAGCTAATTACTGGTCGTTGTCTTACGCTTGGTGACTCCTGAATGTGAGATTAGCTGCGATTAATTGGTTAAGCTGCTTCTCCACCAATCACCAATTAAGATGACTGGATCACTAGCCAGGTGTTTTAGTTCGTATTTAGTCCAGCACGCGATACAACCCTGAATGTTTTAATACCCTGCTGGGGATGAGAGAGAGAGAGAGAGAGAGAGAGAGAGAGAGAGAGAGAGAGAGAGACACGCGTCGACAGATCAGGAACACGAAAAGAACAGGTTGAACACAGGTGAATCAATGACCAGGTGTGTGTGTTTGATCACCAATTAAGTGAAACACCATCCAGAGTTCGTGTCCAAATTACTGATTAACATGAGAGGCTCAAGTGAACAAGACCATTCATCAGGATCTTTACATTATATACCACACTCACCCCACCTCACCTCACCCCACCCCTTCACCATCCCCACCCCACCCCACCCCACCCCCATATGTCTAGTAGCACCCAGTGTGTTCACCTCCACCCCTGTCCAGTATCACCCCATGTCCAATACTCACACCTAGTGATCTCAACATTAGACACACAAAATCACAGCAGGACACACAGTAAAGTCTTCACAGGACACACAGTAAAGTCTTCACAGAACACACAGTAAAGTCTTCACAGGCCACACAGTAAAGTCTTCACATGACACACAGTAAAGTCTTCACAGCAGATACACAGTAAAGTCTTCACAGGACACGCAGTAAAGTCTTCACAGGACCCACAGTAAAGTCTTCACATGACACACAGTAAAGTCTTCACAGCAGATACACAGTAAAGTCTTCACAGGACACACAGTAAAGTCTTCACAACAGATACACAGCAAAAATCTTCACAGCACGACACACAGTAAAGCATTCACAGGACACACAGTAAAGTTCCTCTCTACAGGACACACAGTAAAGTCTTCTTAACAGCAGGACACACAGTAAAGTATTCACAGCAGATACACAGTAAAGTCTTCCTACAGCAGACACACAGTAAAGTCTTCACAGCAAGACAATACAGTAAAGTCTTCACAGGATTACCACAGTAAAAGTCTTCTACAGGACACACAGTAAAGTCTTCACAGGACACACAGTAAAGTCTTCACAGCAGGACACACAGTAAAGTATTCACAGCAGATACACAGTAAAGTCTTCACAGCAAGACACACAGTAAAGTCTTCACAGGACACACAGTAAAGTCTTCACAGCAGGACACACAGTAAAGTCTTCACAGGACACACAGTAAAGTCTTCACAGCAGATACACAGTAAAGTCTTCACAGCAGATACACAGTAAAGTCTTCACAGGACACACAGTAAAGTCTTCACAGCAGATACACAGTAAAGTCTTCACAGCAGATACACAGTAAAGTCTTCACAGGACACACAGTAAAGTCTTCACAACAGATACACCAGTAAAGTCTGACTGTATTATGCAAACGTGTGCTGGGACTTGGGTACACGGCGGCCATTGGAGAGCAGATAACACCACGACATTCTTAACACCCAGAAATTCTTCACATAAATATATATATAATACAAAATGAGAACAAAGTGTTGACATTTTTTATCCAATTTCAGTGTCTATCCAAACCTTTTCTCTGTTCCGTTGTGGCTTGTAAATA